GAAAACCAGGTCTTCGAAGGCCTAGCAGCAAAAACCATTGTCATATTCGGAATCAGCATAGTCGATAACCTATTCTCCACTAGATTTCAACAAAAAAGCGAGCGGACACTTGGGGCAGTTCCCTCGTCAGTGCATCTCCTTTTCTGTCCAAAACAAATTTAATGGAAGAAGTCTTGAAATATTTCGCCTAAAACGACTTTTAGGCGAGGCATATAGTCTTTGGTTCTGTGCTTTTTTTGACGCTAGAAGGATTTTCTTTAAGTAACAAATTTGAGCGGTTATTACAGAGCATCATCTGCATTTACTATAATACATCATGTGATATTTCGAAGACAAGCAAAAAAAACAAATTAAATATCATCCGTCATGTAATAATGGACAAACATCAACACACAATAGTATCTATTACGTTCAATGAAATATTAAAGGATATCAATTATCATTTCTCGTTATCTACTGTTGCTGCAGGACATTTTCAGCTTTCCAATTGTCCTATAACATCAACAAATTTTTATTCTTGTCCCTAAAACACATGAGGATTTTTTTTCAAATTTTATCGTATCAGACGTTACAGTGGCTAACAAAATTATTGGCTCACCTTTATTTTTAATTTTTTTCTTCAACTATAATATCAAGAACAAATTTGAAAAAGATTTGAATAGCTGAAAGAATTTTCAGTATTCAATTTACGAAAGGCCCTGATGGCACATCTTTCAGTTACTTTTCTTGATTTGGTGCTATTAGGGCCTTTCATAAATTAAGTGCTGTGTCATGCAGAAACATGGTAAAAATTTCGGAGACGTCTCATTTTGTTCAGAAATGTTTGCTCTATGGTCGAGTAGAAAAATAACGGTAGGCCAATATTTTTCTTAGTCACTCTATCTTGTACACAGATGATGAATAGATAAGAGTATATTTTTCTAATATGATATCTGAAACTTCATTTTCACTCGGATTATTTGTAGCGGTGATTACTCTGAGATTCGATATCGGTAAAAAATTTGTGTTTTACTCAGTTTAAGCAGATCTCATAACCACACTGTTGAAAGAAAAAACAAGAAAAGAGTCTGATATTATTAAAGTTATTGTGACACTTTTGAATTCTTACTAAATACATCCAAAATAGATGAAATAATGCATTATTTGAAATCGATGATGTTTTAGTCAAATAGTTATGAGACTTTTTTTACAAACCGCGTAGAGTACGTAAATATTTGCGAAGGATTCTATGAGTTTCTATCACAGTAGCAAAAAGTAATATAAACCTTAGATGTTTAAGTGAGTTTTAATTATCGGTAGAATAGCAATATATGTCTCTAGCCTCTATATGAAAACAAAAAAAATGAACTGAATTAATAAAGTCTCAAAAATATTAAAATGCACTGCAGACTCTAATTAGCACCAGATAACAATAGTGTCAAAATTCGACAAAATGTACAGAAAAAGAAAAAAAGGATGATATAATTATCACAAAAGACAAAACCAATCGTCTGTAATCGCCCATATTTTCTGAAAATTAGTTTCAAACATATTTCCTGTATACACACGATGTAAAATATCTGTGCGTTTAAAACTTTTTGATTCAAAGCATTTTAATGCTGTTCTGTTATCCTCTGGTATACACAATAGCATGATACCATCATAGTCGATGGCACACTGTTTAAGAAGTAACATGGCAATGTAATCATTGTCACAGTAAAGTGGACCACATTTAATGTAATCTTGAGAAAAATTTAGAATAACGTAACCATAAATGGTTCCAGTTTTTGCTGATTTTGCAACGTATCCAGCAATTGATATTGTATGTTCTCGTAATTGCTCAAAATAATTGATTCTATATGTTGGATACATGTTTCGATCGTACGATGCCAGATCAAGAATATCAGATGTTTCAAAGAGTTCGATGATAATTTGTTCTTGATCAATTTGTGGCGCAGATGTTTGATATTTAAATGGATCCATGTGTAAAAATTCATTTAATTTACCTGATAGACCAACGATGGAAAATGATGCTTTGAAACCGTATCGAATGTAAAATGGTAAATGTTCAGTTAAACAATTTGCATGAATTGAACGTACACATTTTTGTTCAATCATTTCTAAAACATAATTAGTTAATAATTCACCTAAACCAAATTTTCGATAATCTTTTCGTACAAAAACAACGCCTAATAGCGCATATTGTTCGTTCCATCTTGTAATTGATGCATGTGCAAGAATATTCTGTTTCGACGCCATAATATAGTGATGTTTTGGTTTAAAGGAATAATATATAGAAAAGTCGATAATAGCACGTTTAAAATATGAACACTCTAAGAAGATTAGTTTAAGATCAAAAATCTCTTTCCAAAACATTGGACGAACAACGACATTCAACGTTTCAATTTTACTATCCCTATAAAGCAAAGAAAAAACAATAAAATAAACTGTTTTCCAATTCTTCCTGTAGATTACCATGCATTTATTCATATCTTTTCTTCTAAACGATTTCTCAAGAGTAAAATGAAAAGTGATATATAGAGACAATGACTTGTATTTGAACATTCTTTTCGTATCTGATTTTTTTTTTTTCATCGTTCTCACTCTCAAAAGTCACTCGTTTCGTACTAAACAGCTTCATTCTAAGATGTCTTGAACATTTTTCTCTTGATTAAATTGAGTTTTAGTAATATCATTAAGCATATATTACTTGAAATTGTTGAGTAGAATAACTACTTCATCTGAAACATCTGACTAAAGACAGTTTTGACTCTATCTTTACACTTGCGTCTGTGCTTCACGACGTTATGGTTCTCCATTCAAAAACTATTCTTTCATGTTAAAAATTTAACTGAAGGCATTTGAGACTGTATTTCTTCGGTTAAATTTCTTTTATCGTGTTAATTAATTCTTACGGTTCAAGTTACGAGATTTTCAAATTCAAAAACAAAGATTTTTCTGACAAAAAAAGAAGCATGGTTCGATGTTTTGTTGTTCTGTACTGTGATAGATAGAGAAAAAGAGGAAGAGAGAGAACACTTAGTGAAGGCAATAATATTTATTGCCATTTCGAAAGATAAATAAAACAATGATTGTTAATCTTCTATTCTTAATTGCAATACTACTAAAAATATTAGACAATGCTTTTCGCCTTATTGAATCATTCTAATTCTCTCCAGTCTTATAATGACAATATCCTGTTTTAATTCCAATTTCCTTTTCTGTTCTATATAAATAAAATTTCAAATATTTTGGTATCTCTAGTTCGAATTTCAATATTGTTAATCTTTTTTTTTCTTCCATACTTTGAGAATTTTTTTAAGTTCAATATAATCTCAACAAAGTCACTTATTATTTAATCATCTTTGATATTCTAATCAAATATGCCATTTATCATGTAAAGGATAAACAGAGCTGTCTATTATTTGCATTTCACAACTGTAAACGCTTTTTTGGGGGGATCCTGAGTAGTCTATATTCAATATTTATTGCTTTTTCTAATCTGATGAGTATTATTATTCATATATCTTGGTAAAGTTAATGAAGATAAGCAAAATTGTTTTGAAAATATAATGGTATCAAATTTTACCTGTACAACCAAAACGAGAAATGATCAGTAATTCCATTGTAATTATTTTCATTTTCAACATCTTGTTGACATTCACTCATCATAAAAACATTCAATTAGTTAGACGTAGATAGTATGTTTTTCGTATATAGAAGTACACTTATTATTAAAATCATAATGAAGATAAAAAACCTTTGATAACCTCATCTTGTTTTGATGATTTATTAGAAAATGGAATATTTTAGTTTGGAAAAACATACACATACACACACACATACATATTGGATCAATGATGATGATGATGAATGTTTTATTCAACAATAACAACAGAACGTAGATGAAACAATAATAACACCATAGATAATAGAAAGAGATGCCATTAGTGAAGCGTTGGAGAAAAAAAAAAAAAGAAGAGAATATATACACATACTCTCTTTCCCTTGCTTAATTCAAAGTGTTTAGATACGTAGATAGATAAAACAACTATATATATGGGGATTTCTTTCGTCTTTCTATATAGTTACGCATGGACTATTTAAATATCTAGATGTTATATTCTTAAGATTGGATAGAGAGAAATACAGAGCCATTGTACAATCAATTTTCTTTTTTTTCTAGCAGATTATATTTTGCACGTCGTTCGTACGAATGTACGCACTCCTTAACCAGAGTCTAATGTTTATACAACTGAATAGCGAAACTAATTTGTTATTTATACATCTGGCCATCAAACATAAACATATACATACATACTGCGAAAGAACCGTTAAAGAAGAAAACATAACATGTTCTGTTGCTTTTGATAAGGATGGGAAAGTTACCATTTGCATGTTTGAATTAATTAATTTTTTTCAAGATTGTTCATTTCTAAATATTTGAATATTAGAGACAAAATTGCAAAATCGAACGGAAATAAAGTGGTTTTTAAGCGAAATCAATTTACTAAAATATATGGAAAATTTTTGTTTTGAAAAAATAACAATTGATAATACTTTCTGAATGTGCGACATAATTCTACCTAATCTTATTTGAAAGTTTTTTTCTCTTTCGAGCCGTTGTAGGATAAATTTAGGTCGAGTCGCGCGGAATAGTTATCATCACATTTTCAATACTTTATCTTAAAGATTTTCTTATTAGAAAAATATATTTTTCTCTAGCCAGTCAATATCAGACCAAAACTGCCGATTCTATCGTTATGGGATGGTGACATCTCTCAGCCGAGATTTATAGCTATTTAAATGAAGGAGAAATCATGAAATTACGAAAAGCTACAAAAACAAAAATCGATTTAGAGGAAAGAAAAAAAGAAAAGCCGAGTTTATAGTGCTGTTAGAAAAATGCTAATAACTTTTTAATAGAATATCGCTCCGAGCTGAGCAACATCTTATTTTGAAGAGATTCTGAAAGTAGACATCAAGGACTATATAACTAAATGCGTAACTCCATATGGGAACTTTTACAAGAAATTCGAATCTCTGATGTGGGCAGGCGCTTAGGTAAAGAAAATGAAACAAGCGACACCATTTGCTAAAAGATATATTTACTATCTATATGAAGGTATAAGCGAATGGTTTTGCGTCCTTCATCTTCTTTAAACGATGAGTGATCACTATAAGAATGTTTTTGATTAAATTTTTGTCTGTTTGTTTATCATGTCCTTCTACGATCTTGGACGACCGAGTTACCGGCTTTTAACTTACGAATATAAATTCATCGAAAATTTTTGTTTTAATGCTGAATTTTCGATCTGTATCATACAGATCGAAAATTCAGTGTTAAAGCAAAAATTTTAAAAAATTTAAAGCAAAAAAAGTGCCATAGAAAATACAGTGTATTTTCTATGGCACTTTTTGACAGAACGTCGTAGAAGCTTGGCCAATATCTCACTTTGTCAAAAAAAAGCTCCGTACAAATCAGAAAATGTATAATAAAAGAAAGGAAACAATAGCAGAAACTCAAATTCTGAAATTGCGTCTCATTTCCTAGTGGATGCACTCGATAACTTGATGAGCACTTGGAAAGTACTCGAACAAGAACTTGCCGAGTGTCGTTACTTGGCTTACTTCAACCAAGTACTTAGACAAGTGAAATTTTTTACGTATTGCGCTGAATAGACCAGTCTACGATATTAGTGGGAAGTTCCCGGCAATCGTAATCATTTTCTTCTTGTTCTTGTCATCAATCATCCTTAGGGGATGTACGGTTTGATACAGCTTCTGTTATTGGAACACTGCTCGAACAAATGCGTTTTGCGATCAGTGCGCATTTGTTCAATGTTCCGATCAACACCGCTAACACAAAAATCTTTGACCCCCTTGAAACCGGGGAAGCCGATGTTTGACCGGGTTGAAACTCAGAGCAGAGATAGAACACCAAGAAAGAAAATCGATGTATTTTTTGCCCAGAATTTTCTGGCATGTTCTTCTATGGATTTTCTGGAAGGCTCCAGTTTTCATTCAGTCATATTACGACCCAAGAAAAAATTTTCCCATCGAGCTGGAATTTTTACCACAGTTACTTCAGGTATTATCTCAGGTTCTAAATTTTTTTTCCTTCTCAAGATATTCAAAAAATGCTAAAAATCCTGTATAAAAAATCGGTTGTTGCTTTTTAAAGTCTTCTCAGACTGAAAACAGGTTCAATAAAATGTAAATACTTTGAGAAAACGTCGCTTAACGCGAGAAAAGTTTTTTTTGCTAAAAGGTTTCCAAGGGCACTGAGAAGGATTTTTAAGATTTAAGAATATGTTAGCATTAATCGTGGACAAAAACTGCATCAGATGAGTTAACATAAGACTGATTTGAGCGTGGGCCGATTTTGCATCTTATCGTCCCCCGTCCTTTATTAGCTCTTTATTTTTTCGTTCCATTGTAGTATCAATATTGTTACGATCAATCTTTGATATGCTGGTCAACATTAATGGGGTTTCGAAAACTTGGATTAAGGGATGAGGACAGTACCTGTTGACTTTTTCAAGTAAAAAATAAATTTACTTACGAAGTATTTGACAAGTAAAACGTGCGTACCTGACTGACACAATACAAGTAAGTTTACTTGGTAAAGCTCAGTCAGGTACGTGTTAAATTTATTTTTATTTTGTATTTTATACATATGCTCGAGTTACGTACATCCACTAAGGAATGAGACACAATTATTTAAAATCTTGATGGATGGAATTACGAGTATTATTCCAGATCAGGTCATAATGGTCAATAATAACAACATTCTAGTATGGACAATGATAAAACTGTTATGGAAAACGCTCAGATTATGGTCAGTGATGGACTGGTTGCTAGTGGACATAGTGGATAAGCATTTACATTATTTGGTCACATAATCACGTTGTTCGGAAGTATTCCGAATTTATTACTGTTACTGATGATTGGCATCATCGTATTGTCACTTGTCATAAAACTAAGCCGCACTGTTATTTATTACTCATTTTTAACATATTGTTGAGCTAAGAAAGATAAAAAAGTTCATACTGCCAAGCCTAACTATGCAAAACAGCTGATTGAGAATGTGTTAGTGCATTTGTTATTGAAAATTCTCATATGCTAGTTGATTTCATGATAACTTGAGTGGTATACTTTCAACTCAAAAGCTATTTTTGCCGACCCTCTTCTATTATCACTCTTACAACTGTGCATGGTTTAGACAAGAAAGCTACTGGTGTTATTTGTACACTGAGTACCATATACCGATTAACTAGTTCGAGTTTGTTTCCGCCCAAAGTAAGATTTCAAGATCGGTGCCGGTGTCTCCATTTTTGAGTTTCGGACTCCGTGCTACTAACAGTAAAGATTATTGTTTTGATAGTTTTATGGGTTTGACATACCAAGATTTACTGAGAACATGTTGGCAACATGCAAAGGAAGCAACAATAAAAGATCGCCAACCCGCAATATTTGCCCGGGATTCCACAACTTGATGAACCCAAAAAACGTCCACCAGTGGAAAGGAGCTCGTGTCATAGACATTGGCTCCGGCAAACAGACATAAAGACAAATCAGCAAATATTTGATTCTTTTCAGTTTTGATTTTTTTCTCATTGTTCATCAAGTATAGCACTGTTTAGTTTAAATAAATAACTTATTGCATTTATATATGTCTGTTCAAGAAATGATATATTTGTTCTTCTGTATGACAGTTTTATGTATTCAGAAGATCGAGCATACATCATCATTTAGGAGAAATAAGTTTAAATTGCACTTTGGCTCCTATAACTCAGATATGTATTACTTAGCTCCGCGTAAACTTCGTTAGTCAGTAGTTCCTTCAATTCGGATGGACAGCTACGCGCGGCATCTATCCTGCATCTTAGAAAAAGTTATTTATTCCTATTACTCTTTGTCTCTGTTTCGTATTTACTTTCGTTCTTTTTCTTTGAAAAACATCTTTTTTGCCTTAATGTGCTGCTTACGAGATTGCTCAGCCTATGAACTATTATTCCATATTTTACGATATTCCATGTTTTATTTTGCGGACAGACAGAATGACAGTATTTTATAATACCCTAGACTAATATAATGACATAACGTCAAGGGAATAAATATGAATAGTACCGTAGGCTACCAAAATTAAGTTTAAGAAGAGATGAAGACGGATTGATTTTATAAACTATGGGTTTGTTTTCGTTCCATCACAATCAAACTTTTTTTATCGTTTTCGAAATTTTTAGCTCTTCTACAGACTGATCACCTTCCTGGTGGTAGTGTGGTACGTAGGGTGAGGACAATAGAGCTAGGAAGGTGATCAATCTGGAGAAGTACTGAATTTATATTTAAAGCTCTAAACGTAAAAGTCTATTCTTATTTGTAGTGCAACACGCAGAACGATCTTTTTATTTCGGAAGTTTCATACGACTTCTTTTTTTCAAACATAATCAGATGTGTAGACTTCAGAAAGTCTATTTTTAGCATAGCGTAAGACGTGAAAGTTTTATACAAACTCAGGCTCGAATAGGTCTCCTATCTCTTTCATATATGATATTTTTATTGCATGAAACTTGAGTTCTGATAGAGAATTCCGAGTTTTTCGCTTCTGATCTGGGAAAAATAAGTTTTCTCGGTGACGAACAAAAAGTGATTGCTACTTTTAAAGTTATTTTAAGAGCACTTCTAATGAAATGCAAAAATCGGCTTCGTCTCTTCATAAAAAACCTAGATAGGTTTGCAGAATTGTTTATGAACCTTTTACAAGGAGAGTACAGGATGTCCATACTAGATAGACTTCTGACTTTAACCTCAATCAAGCAAGCATCATCCTCAGCTTTTAATGTTGAATCTGAAAAAAATACTTTCGAAAAGTTAGAAGACCGAAAAAGAAAACATCTGAACTATTTTGAAACCGAAGCGTTTTTCGAAGTTTTAGATCCTTCGAATTTTATCAATTTTTGGACATAAAAATCTTTTTCAACTATTAAAAATACATATTTTCTGAGTGAGCTCGATGTACTCGAACCAACCATATATAAATAAACAGACAAAAAAATCTTGCTCAAATTTACAATTTCCGACACCTTACCTTTATAGAACAGAAGCTTCGTTTTTTATTTGTAATATAGAAAAAGAAAATTCTACCACCTGACCTAATACAAAATAAAAAGTTTCTAGATACCTGTACGTGCATCTCTTTTGTTCTTTTCCTCTTTTTTTTATATTACTAAACAAATGTGATGAATGATATAATAAATCAGACCGCTAATGCACGTTTTCCGCATGATAAAAATTTCTTTTACTAAAATAAACTACTCATTTGTTCGTTAAATGTTTTTTAATTTTTAGCATCTATTTTAAATGTAGTCAAATATATATGAATTTAT